GAAATAAATGTTTTAATTAGTTAATCTATTTTATGAACCAAAATTCTCTTTGTAAATTTTGAGACATTATATACTTGGTGTATACTTGACATCTACTTGGCAAATTAAAACGACACATGACTTAGGATAGTAACTATCTTTGTGTTTTATTCGCATTTTATGAAACTTTATTTTTGTATATGATTAACCATCGAACTTATTAGAAGTGTTTAATGACATTTATGACACACATTTGATTTTTTTTATGTTGATAAACCAATTATTATCGATTATGAATTATCTAATAATAGTAGAAAAAAAAACAATTGTCTATTTGCTTATTTTGTGAAGAGACTACTTACGCGTGTACATGCACAAATTTTCTTTATAAAGATGTATAAATATAAATAGTGTTCTATAGATGGTTTACGATGAAAAATAGATGCTATATTATATATGATTTTGTGATGTCTAACCCTGTATGACTCCCTAAGATCCCGTTTGATAGACATATTTCCAGATCCGAACAGATCTATCTAACTGAATAGACCAGAAAGACTGTTTGATATGCACAAAAAAAATGAATCTTTCCCGGTAAGATATGTCTTTCCCAGAAAGCTCAAAAACCATATATTTCTGGTTGAATAGGTTGGAAAGACAATTGTGCCCCAAACTCCGCCTCTTTCTTTCTTGCATAATTAATTTCTTTTAAATATTTTTTTAATTTCTTTTTTATTGATTTATTATATATTAATAAATATTATTTTTAATATATAATATTTATGTATTAATTAATATTTTTTATTAGAGTATTAATTTCTTTTAAATAATTTTTTTATTTCTTTTTAATAGATTAATTCTTTTTTTATTGGATTATTATATATTAAAAATATTATTTATAAATATATAATATTTATATATTAATAAAAATTAATTTATTTGATTATTAGTTCTTTTAGTTAAATTTTTTTTAATTCATTTTTATTGGATTAGTTTTTTTTTTTTTTTTGGACAACACTACCATCATCTTAATATATTTTGAAAAAATTCATCAATCCCACTACTATCGGATATAAACCGAGTAAAAAATCGTATGTTGAGTTATATATATTTTTTAAATTGCTAGAAAAAATAACGACATAACATTAACTTGAAAAAAAAAAAACTAAAAACAACTTAATCGACATTTTATTTGGATTTTAAATGATTACAGTGTAATTTTGATTTTATATGATAATTTGTATGTTTTTATAATTATTCAGGAACTTCATCCGTCACAATATAGAATAGCAGAGTAATATTGCTATTTTTCATTATTCAGCACAATCAATCAGATGTACAATAAAACAAAATGACTTATTTCATAGTCAGAAAACTTTTCCCATATAATAATTTCCCAGACAACACTTTTTCGGACATAAATTATCAACCGGGGCCTAAATTTTCCATCTAAACATATTATTTTAACATATACCCATGTGAGGAATCATGCATCATGGTGCAAATTGCGAAGAAAAGATAGCTATACGAACATAAGAAATATATCATTAATTATGTTTGAAATAGCTTAAAGACTTATTTGACGAATAAATGTATTGATATCGATTGTATTATCCGTTGTATTATTTTTAAACAATGTTTTATTTCGTTTGGGTTTTTTGATAGTTTCAAACTTCCACTTTTAATTAGAAATGTTTTTAATTTTTAAAGTGATGTTTAAAATGTTATTTAGTGGCAATAGTTTGGTTTCATCGTAAATTTCATAGCTATATTTCCGTAGCAAATCTCATAATTGTTTTTCTGTAACAAAATTTATATTTATTTTTTCCATAGCAAATTTGTAGTTGTTTCTTCTATATAAAGATTCAACCAAATTAATTTTATTCATAATAATATATAAAAAATATAATAATTAAAAAAAATCCAAATTTAGAAGACATATTTCAAAATTACTTTTTGTTTGAATAGCAAAGCAAATTATATTTAAAGAAACCAGCTGGAGGTGGGACAAAATATAATACAAAAGGAAGTATGAAAACCGGAAATACTTGTAGCCTAAGAAGGAAAAAATCTAAAAAAAATTAGGGATAACTAATAAGGAGAAACTACCAAACTATCAAATAGGCTTGAAAACGAAAACATGAACCAAACTTCAGCTCCAAAGACAACAAATCATGCTTTCAAATAAACTTCATAATGTAAATAGGTGACTCCGACAGCGGCAAACTATTAGCCATGTGCCTCCTCTTTTTGATGGCGGTTGTTTGATAGGGGATGCTCCGAACCTCACAAGCTTTGGATATACGGTAACAAATTGGGATGCGCCAAACCCCACAAGAAAGCATCTTAGAAGACCCAAAATTAATGTAGAAACTCAAACTTTATTTATACTTCGCGAGATCGATGTTCGCTTGGATAGTGATGAGACCATCCAGGAGATATTATAAGGAAATCTGTTATGCTAAATCACTGCAAGAGACAAAAGATAATACACACCCAAATACCCCCAACCCCACAAACACCACAAAAGAAGAAACATAGAAAGAATGTTTGAGTTGCGGACAAAACATATAAGATGATTACCCATAAGAAAAGAAAAAAACTCACATCAAACACACACGTCTGTAAAACAAGAATACCACCTAGACACCAAGATTTTTTTAGAAAAATACAATAGAAAATTCCCTATCCCACCCTCCCTTCCCCTGGAAATTTACTGAATCATCAAAACTCGTTAATGATGTAATTTTTTTTATCTAATGTGAAATTTTTTTATCTAATGGTCAATCATGTAAAATTGTTTTTTATTAAATGTGAACAAAACAAATAAATCATTAAGTTCATAAGTTATATTTCTTTTAATTTGTCATATATAGGCCAAAGAAGCTATAATCTAAGATAACACATAATAATAATAATATTTGAACATTTTAAATAAATTTGTTAGACAATCATATATAAAATTATACAAAATAAAAGGTTAAACTGACACCTTAGACATCCCAATAGGGATGGCAAAACGGGTCGGGTTTGGGACGGGTTTTGGTAATCCCGCCCCCATCCCCAAATATGAAAATCGATCCCATCACCGACCCGATTACCAATGGGTACCCATTTACCAAACACTATCGGGTCTGCGGGTATCCCAACGGGGTAATGGGGATCCCCATTTAATATTCAAATTAAGAATAATTTTGATTCAACGAGAATACAAAACCATTAGACTTAGTGATGAAAGCATAAACTCATATCCAAAATAAATTTGATAATTAACAAAACTATTAAGAGCAGACATATTTGTTCTGATACGTAAGTGATTACTTGTGGCAAAAAAAAGAAAAAAACAATAAAGACACTAGCATTCATAAACCATAATCTCAATATTACTCTAAGTACTATGAATAAAAAATGTCAAAACACCAGCACTACAAATAAACAAGAAGCTATCTCAAAAAATTATCTTTAAATTGTTCACAACAAAAAAGATACTCAAGGAAATATATATATATATATATATATATATATATATATATATATATATATATATATATATATATATATATATATATATATATATATAATCATGTGAATGGTTTCAGGTAACGGGTTTCGGTTTCGGTTTTGGTTTCAGGTAACCGGGACGGGTATTTTGTTTACCATCCCCATAACCAAACCCGCGAAATTTTTCTAAAAGCATACCAAACCCGATCCCGACCCCGATTAACCGACCCCAAACCCGAACCTAATATGTCGGTTTTCGGTTTTTACCATCAGGTTCGGTTTCTTTTGCCATCCCTACATCCCAAAATAAAATTATACAAAATAAAATGTTAAACTACTAACCTTAGACATCCCAATGAAATATTTATCAAAAAATAAACTACAATTAACTATTTATAACTATTTTTTTTGAAAAACAAATATGATTTCAGCCAATAATATAATATTCCACATAAGTAAATGTTTAGGTGATAAAATATTAAAATATGTCCTTTTTGCCAAAAACGTAAACAAAATTAATAAAATATACGGTGCAAATTATTTTTCTAAATAAATTAAATAAAAATAATTGACAAGCGGAAAGTAAAATAAAGCGGAGACGTTGAAACGTGGAAGACTTTGGGGAATTCCGGAATTCAGATTTTTTTTATAATTATTTCGTCGTTACTTGAAGTGATTGGAAATCAATGCTGACGTGGAAATCTGTGACCCTTGTCGTTTCAACTTTCAACTTTCAAATTTCTCGTTGACTAATTTGTCGACTAACATGCGCCGGGTATGCGCACTATATACCCACTCTTTTCCAAAGGTCCAACTATGCGCTCTGCGCACCTTGCGTATCCAAGTCTCTCTCCTCTTTATCTCTGTTACCCCATTAGTTAAAGCTACGTTGACTGACATAATAACTTCTCTCTCTCTCTCTCTCTCTCTCTCTCTCTCTCTCTTTGTCAAAAAGCTACAAATTTCAACCATTTTGTGTTGCCGGAATCGCACCTTCGACCTTTGCCGACGTTATTTCCGGTGATATATCCGACCTGCTGCTCTTCTATAATTTTATTGAATCTGTGCTGTTCAACTGTCCATTTCCTTGTACCTATCTTTTTAAACTTAGGGTTTTGAAAGGGAACAAGAAGAAAACGTAAATTAGGATCCTCGTGGTCGTTTATCTTCGCTTGTAAATTTGTATTTGTTGTTTATGCAGTTCGGTTTAGTTGTTTAGATGATAGATTGAGATCTATATGTCGACGCTGTTATTGTAACCGCCGTGGTTTTATCAGCTAAAATCTAGGGTTTTCGAAAGAGCGGTTTGGTACTTTGGAAGTATTTGAAGATATCTGGGCCGTTTTGATGTTACCTGTGCTTTCTTCAGATTTAGCGGTTCACACTTGACAATTTATGCTTTTTTCGCTAACAAACTGAAGAATGATGATGTCTGATTAGTAATTGCTGAAGGTGAGAAGTTTGTTTTATGGTCCTCTTTTTGATTTATCTGTTGCCGTGGTAGTGATTTTTGATTAAATATGAAGAGATTGAAATCGAGTGACGATCTTAACTCTTATGGAGGAGAAAAGGGTGTTTTTAAGGATTGGGGAAGAAAGGACGATGATTCAAGTTTGCACCAGTCGTCATCTCACAGAAGTTTTCATTACAAGTCTGAAAGTGGGAAACGGGGTTTATCCTCTTCTTCTTCTTCACGTTATGAAAGGGTAGACGATGATCTTAAGAATCCAAAGTTGACACGGAAGAGGTCAGATTATGATATTGACAGTTACGAGAGGAGAAAGAGCTATGACAGGTATCGGGATAGTAGTGAGAGGGGAATCTTGAGTTCATCCCCTCGTGGTGGATATGGTGGTGATCGGATACACAGATCCGAAAGTTTTTCAGGGCCAAGGAGAGATTTCCCTAAAGGGTTTAGATCAGAAAGAGATCGTTCAAGGCGAGAGGGAAGTGTTTCTTCATGGAGGCGGTTTGGTGGAGGGAAAGACGTGGAGGAAAGCACAAAGAGTGGCAGTGATTCTGCTAGAGGAAGTAAAGCAGCTTCAGAAGAAGTTGGCAATGCGAGGTCCCCACAGGGAGGGAGAGATGCAAAGTCACCACCATGGTCAAAGGACTCTGGAAGCGAACAGTCAAAGTCTTCAAAGAGTCTTGAAGTGAAGAAGAGTGAAAGTCTTCCAGAAGAAAGTGGAAACAACAGTGAAAGAGAAGAAGGAGAGCTTGAACCTGATCCCGAACCTGCTCCTATTGTCCAGAACATCACTGAAGATCCACCTTCTGTGCCATTAAAACATGAAAATCCCATTGATGACAAATGTGTTGAAGAATCCAAGGGTGATCCAACATGCGTTGTTACTGATATTGAAGTACCAGTACCTGTAATGAACAAAGTTAATGAATCATCAACTTCTGAAGATTCTTCAACCCAGAGAACAGGTGAAAATGGAGTTGCAGTTCCGTTTTTATCAGATAGCCAAAAGAAGGATGCAGCAGAACAAAACCAAGCTTATAATGATCACAAAGAGGAAGCTAAAGATGTTAAACCTGAGGAAACAAAACCTAAACAGGTAAACGATACAAATCTTGAAGTCAAGGGGGAGAATATGAGCATGGATACAAATACACAAGGACAGGTAGCAGAAAATGAAGAACAACATGTTTCATCTGGATTTGTTAATCATTGTTTTGTGACAAAAGAACTGACCCATAATTTCAAAGACAAGGGAAAAAGTGTTCTTGTTTCAGACTCCCATGTTAATGAAAACGGATCAATTGGTTTATTGAATAGCAGGGAGATTGACATAGAAGGACCAAGTACACGTGGTTTTGATTTGTTCTTTACAGATCCAGTTAAAAAGAGTGAAAGTAATGAGCAAAAAGGATTAAGCAAACCAAAAGATGAGAAACTCTTATTAGAACCACTTGAACTTTCTCTTCGTTTACCAAGTGTTCTTTTACCCATTGGTTCTCAAAACCCGATTCTGGGTCCAGATTCTCCAAGTCAAGAAATGAGCATTCAATCACACGCAAGTTCTTTTCAAACAAGTTCTGATGGATTCACATTATCAAGATCTTTTTCTGGTTCTCAACACTACACCCACAACCCTAGCTGTTCTCTAACTGAAACTTCATTCGACTTTGAACAATCTGTTGGAAGTCGTCCATTGTTTCAAGGTGTGACGTGGCAAGTTCAGCCTCCAGATGACACCCCCAAGAACCAAGAACCTCCTCCCATTCAAATGAGCCTCTCAAATGGAAATGGTATCTTTCATCACTCTCACACTTCTCAACCTCTTCCAAATCCTCAATCCTTACAATTACACACCTCTAAAGTTTCAGAAGGAAGTTATAAATTACCAATTGGGCTTGAAAGACAGCTAAGTAGCAACAACAACAACAACAGTAACAGGAAGCCATCAGGATCACAAAGTGCTGGGTCCCACGAAACTGGATCAGAGCATCATAAAGATAGGAAACGATTAATGAGAGAAGCTATTGGTTCTTTAAGTCAAACCACTGAAATGGTTGAGCCTCTTCTCGCAATGGTGGTTTCAGATCCAGTTCACATCGTGTCAAGAATCTTAAGTGAAATGACAACATCGTCCCTCACAAGTCTAAAAGAATCCGCGCGTGATGTCATTTTAAATCCAAGCAAACGAAGACAATTTTCCACCTTCCGCAAATCCCTCGAAAAAAGGTCGGATATAACCCTAGAGATTCTCTCAAAAGCCCATGCCACTCAAATCGAGATACTCGTAGCTTTAAAAACCGGTATCCAAGATTTTCTCCAATCCAACAGCGACACGTCATCGTCTGACCTGGCGGAAATCTTTCTCAACATAAGATGCAGAAACCTGACATGTCGAAGCTACATACCCGTTGACGAATGCGACTGCAAGATTTGTGTTCAGAAAAAGGGGTTTTGTAGCGCGTGTATGTGTCTAGTGTGTTCAAAATTCGACATGGCATCAAACACATGTAGTTGGGTAGGATGTGATGTGTGTCTGCATTGGTGTCACACAGACTGTGGGATCCGCGAATCCTACATCAGAAACGGGCGGAGTGTGAATCGGGCCCCGGGTCAAAGTCAAACCGAGATGCAGTTTCATTGTGTTGCGTGTGATCACCCCTCCGAGATGTTTGGTTTTGTGAGAGAAGTTTTTCAGAATTTTGCTAAAGGCTGGACAGCTGAGACACTGTCGAACGAGCTTGAGTATGTTAGAAGAATCTTTTCTGCCAGCGAGGATATTCGTGGGAAACGACTTCACGAAATCTCTCTCCAGATGCTGACTAGGCTGTCTGACAAGGCAAATGTTCATCAAGTTCGGTCCTTTGTCATGGGTTTTCTTACCGGTATGTTTTCAATGGTTTAAAATACTACATACCTAACTTTTCATTTTTTCTAATAACTACTACTGATTGCAGATGATGATAGTTTGAAGTTGGAGAACATTCAAATCCAACAAGAAGTGGTGAAACCGGGTTATGGAGAGAGAGAAAGAGCGATGGTTCATTTGAAATCAGTAGCTGTGGGCCCACGGGAACCGGTTTTTGATGAGCTGGATGGGATTGTGCGGATTAAGTTGGCAGAGGCTCAGATGTTTCAAATGCGTGCAGATGATGCAAGAAGGGAAGCAGAAGGTCTGAATAGGATTGCACAGGCTAAAAGTAAGAAGATTGATGAGGAGTTTGCTAGTAGAGTTGCAAAGTTGCATTTCTCAGAGGCTGAGGAAATCAGAAGACAAAAGTTTGAGGAGTTACAAGCTTTGGAAAATGCACATCAGGAGTATTTTAATATGAAGCTCAGAATGGAAAGAGAGATTAAGGATTTGCTTTTGAAAATGGAAGCTACAAAAAGAAACTTCACCTCATCCTCATGACCATGTCACCTGGGTAGGTTTATTAGTTAATTAAAGTATTACTACTACTACTACTTACCTTTTGTTTTTGCATTGCAAGTTTAGTGGGGGTTGGTTGGTGATTAATTTGTAGGTTTACTACTTTGAATTATATTATGTTTTTTTTTTTCTTTTTTTTCTTTTTCTCTTTTAAGACAGACTAGACTGTACAGAGACTGCTCTTTTATGTTAGATACATGTGTTTTCATGTTCTGAAATGGAATATTAAAAAAATCCAAGTCTCATGATATGTGGACCGACTTAAAAAAATATAGGTTTGAAATTCCATTTAGTATTATGTCTTGATTTTTCATTAACAATGGAAAAGTCTTGTAACAACTAAAATAGTGGAGAAAACAAATATTCTCCTATCTATTGTTTTTATTTATCTTCCTGCGTGATAGATCAAGATAAATGTCAAATTAAAGAGAGGGATTATGAGTATGGAGATGGAAATGACCACTATATATGATATTATTTTAATTTTTCAAAATGAGAAGTGTGAGCATTTCTTGTTAAAAGTATTTTGACAACTTTTTTTGTTTTAGAGAGATATTTTTGTAATATGTATGGTCATCTGATACTAGAGGTGGCATAAGGCGACACAACATGAAAATTGTCATGAACTCAATATGAAATTAACAAGTTCGGTAAGAACGAGTAAGGTTACGGTTGAGGGTTTTAACTCGAAAATGACTCGTTTATTTGTATGTAAGTTTTTTGACTTCTGTAAATAAACTAGAAAGATCCGAAACCAAACCATGTGAAAGAAAACCTTTGGGTTGGATCGTTTTGTAATGTCGAAATTTAGCTATTTAGGTGAAAACATAATTTATATTTTATGTTATCTAATAACCTAAACAATCCTGGTGATCACTCCCTCCTCTTCATGAGCTTGTCTTATGCCTCCTAACTTATACTTTTTGTTTTTTGCTCTTTAAATTCACCATGAATTTAATTATTTTGCCTTCCAACTATTATTTTTTCCTTTGAGCCTATTTAATTCATACTTTTTCAAGATGTTAAATGTTTCAACCTCAAATACCACGACCCATTTCAAGAAATACTCTTAACTTGAAACCCGAAACAAACTCAACATAAAAATAAATGGGTTGACACAACACAAAACGTTAACTAAATAGATTGGGTAATGGTCAACACTCTCTACCAAATTTAATGTTTTGACATAACACAAGATCTGACACGACACATGTTTTCGATGTCTATATGATACATTTGATTTTGACACCAATATTTAATTTTAATTTTTGCATAGCCATTTCAATCAACAAATATGAAGGTCTCTTGTAAAATTTAGATGATAAAAACCAAAAGATCTTAAGGTTGCAGTGGATCTCATTTACGACTTGTGTCCTCGAAGTTGAATGATGCGAAGTTAAGAGACCTATAGAAACATGACAAGTTATCATATTTTGTTCTTGGTTTTGAATCGCTCCCTCTTGTATTCTTTAATTTTATTAGTTTGATGACAAATGCTTTTGACACATCGAATCATGTTTGTTTGTAAAAGTCTTAAGAATGATATATAAGAGAAAGACTTGACATTGTGTTGCTAGGGTGTGTCCAACATGGAATGGGGGTCGATTCCATGATGTTGGATATATATATGCAAGGTAGTGCTGACCATGGATGGTCAGCCCAAGGCGGAAAGGGATCCCTAGTGGGTTGTTGGGGCTAGTTTGTTGAGGCATCGCCTTGGCTGCCATTGTGACTATCGGACAATCGAGTTTGAGTGTGGGAGTTGCCATTGTGGGTGGTTAGTGCATGAGAAGGGTTGGTGGTGGATGGATTTTTAAAGCTAAAGTAGTGCTAGCGACAATTTATTTAGCTTTTCTTGTTTCTTCGACAATTTTTAAAGCTAAAGGGATGGTAGGGGATTAGATTGTTGAATGAGTGTTGCAATGTTGTCATAGTGTGAGGCCGCTTATAAGCTGAAGGACGAGGGAGATGTTTAGAAAATGGGACACTAACATTGGATGGTTTATCCGCAAGAGTTTTAGTTCTTAACAGTAGGACAAGATGTCGCAAGAATTTACAAGAATTAGTGTAAAATGTCAAGTTTGATAAAAATTACTTCAATTTCAAATCGCTGCGTTATGATAATTAAATAAACAACAAAAGTTACCATCATATGTAATCAAACTATATATTTTCTACTCAGGGATTTTGTGAAATGCAAGTTAAAAAGTACTCTAACTTTTTTGGTACTTTGAAAGTTATTTTATAATTTTCATATATGTAATGGTGTAAAGGGGGTCCTAACTATCCGTATTTCTCTATTTTATTGATGTATAAATAGAGAGCTCATCCATCCATCCATCTAAGGCATCCCTTAGACCTCATAATATCGTGGAGTTAGTATCTTTATCTCCGCTCCCTCTCTTTACATAAGGAACACTCTACTACTTTTCTCCACATCCCTACATTGACGTCTCAAAAGTTGGTTCCTTCCTGTCGGAAGAGTCGACTCACTATACCCAATAATTCGATCCAATCAATTTAGATTGTTCTCGAGACACAGTTTCTAGGACAAACCTAACGATACTCTCTCTGTTTTATTACCAAGTTTTAGTCATGAATCCATCCACGACACTTACATCCATCAGAGAACCCGCACCCGACTGACAGTCTGACACAACAATATGCAATCTATTTATTGGTTACCCTTAAATATAAAAAGACGCCAAGCTTTCTTTTTATGTGAAATTTCTATTTGGTGGATGATTTTTGTCATGTCAAAACAAGATATACGACCAACTAACATGCGAAAGATAAATTACAATGTTTATGGAGCTGGAAAAGATAATATTTAACTTCAAACTTGAATAATTGTTATGAGTTTTTACATCTTTACTAATTTATCATTTGTATGGATCCAAATTTGTAATTTCATATTGTTTTTAGATACTAATAGTGGTCAAATTTGTAGACTAATTTGGTTGCATATAACCATATCTTAATACAAGAGAATTGAGTGCAAACCTCTTGTTGTGATTGTAAGTTCAAAGAAGAGTATTGCTAAATATACAAAAGGATGAAAATAATTGGGAACAAAAAACAATTTGTGTATTTATTTATCATTACACTCTTTTTGCCGGGAAAATTTTGAAATATATATATTTAAATTAAAAAAATAAAAACAAAACATAGGGATAATAAACAAATGACGTGTCACTGGAATTTTCTTCTTTATTTCATGTCCATATAATTTCGAAGCCTCACTTCAATGGATAACAAATCCTCCAACCACAATCCGATATCAGATCGCAATGACATCCACGGCGATATTCTCCGCCGCACCGGCACCTCTCCCCACCATCAACCACCGTGTAATCTCTCCAATGGTATGTGCTTGTGTTTCCGATTACTCTCTAACATTCAGAAACGCAAACAACAAAAAATCGACTCTGCTTCCACGGATCAAATCAGCGGCATCAGATTCCAGTTCCACGGCAATCATCGACGATCCGACGTCGGCTTCCGCTTCAGAAGAAGAAAGTCCAGCAAAGATCGGCGCTAGGGTTAGGGTAAAGGTGCCGTTGAAGGTTTATCATATACCTAAAGTAAAAGAAGTGGAATTGAACGGGAAGGAAGGTAAAATCAAAGAATACGTCGCCCTTTGGAAAGGGAAGCAGATTTCGGCTAATTTTCCTTACAAAATCGAGTTCCTGGAGAAACTTGAAGGGCGTGGCGATGCTCCTGTGAAGTTCTTCGCGCATCTTAGAGATGATGAGTTTGAGTATATCGACTGATTTACTGATTTTGATCAAATTGTAGATCTGCATCCGGTTTTGATCTCAAATTGCTGATACAATATTGAGTTTGTCACAACTGAATACGTTCCAGGTATTATGGATGCAAGTATATACTATGTACTATATAAAGCTATAGGCAAAATCATTGATGAAAATGCTCACTCCTTATTAGCTGTTTAATTGTATTAATTAAAATATTTTCATTAATGGCTATTTATTAAAATGATGACTATGTATGGAAGCCAACAACCTGAAGATCAATCTTCTAATCTCTGTTAGAAATTGGCCACCAACATTTGACAAAAACACATTGTATATTAGCAAAAATACCACTTGTAGTAGCTAAATATTTTTATATTATTCCAAATGAATATGTCGATATTATCTTAAGAAGAGTTTAATGAGGAAAACGGTGGTCTACCCGTTTTCTAAACAATATGTCGATATATATCGTCGAAGATGTTGAAGTAAGTAATCAAATATTTTTTATTGTTACTTTTTGATGGCATTCAAATAACTTTTGCGAAATCGTCTTAAGTGATTTGATAAATCTTTTCTTTGTACATAATTTATGATTTAAAGTTTAAACAGCCAAAATTTCAAATCCATGTATGATTTTACTTGTTTCTATATTTTTATGTATTTCTACATTATTTGCATAATTTTTTCCCGCAAAATGGCTATTATGCAGTAGTTAATGTTCTAAGATACCCTCCCAATCCATTGAACTCACTGTCACATTAGTTTTTTTTTTTTTTTTTTTTTTTTTTTTTTTTTTTTTTTTTTCAACCCACAACACACGTAAATCATATATCTCAACCCACTCAATTAAAAAAACAAAACAACTAAGGTACAAATCTTAAAACATATGTTATAAGAGAAAATGAGAGAGAGAAAGTAGAGAGAGAGGATGAAGTGGGTTAGTGAAACCAATGAAACAACCCACTGAAGAGGGGAGTGGTACTAGTGGTAACTTTATTTCTAATTAAGATTTTACCTTGATTGTTTTGTATTTTTTAATTGAATGGGTTGAGTGAGTTGAAAAAAATAGGTTTCCGTGTGTTGTGGGTTGGAAAAGATGAAGAAAAATGAAAGAGAAAAACTGATGTGGCAGTGGGTAGGGAAGAGGAAGGATCTAAAAAACTCGTCATAGTTCAAAGGTTTGTACTACGATTACTTGTCATCAACAAATCAATATCAAAGATCTTATTCAAAAATCACAATCTTCCACCCACTCGATTTTAACTTCGAATCATAGACTTCCATTGCGAGTTCCGATTGAGAGATTACAAAGTCCAAATACAATTGAAAATCAATTCGAAATTCATTAAAACCTTTTTCCATTCGATTACTACCCCAATAATTGACTTCGATTG